AATTCAAAACTCTGAATTAATATTGTAATACTTAGGCTCTAGTGGACAGTTAAATCTGTTTATCAAAATAAAAATGTTAAATTATATGAGAATATCCAGTAAAATTATTAATCTATACCAACCTGATCCATCTTAGCTAAATTTGAATAGGTATTAAATATGCAAGTAAACTGTTGTTATACTTTGTTTCAGTTACGGTATTTTGAGAAGTTATATTATTTTAAACAAAATAACAGTAGCCTACTGTGTGTCAGTAGGGATTACAGTTCTTTTTGTATACAAAATAAACATGTACCTGATACAAACGTTCCGGCATTCGACATAATCATATAAATATTTAATGCTTGAATTGTATTATTCATAAATGATATTTCAATTAAAACATTCGGTTGAAATATACTTATAATAACTTTTTTATGAGTAGTACATATACATATATGTACATATACATATATGTACTACTGAGGTGTGTTCAATAAATACCCAGACTAAAATTATTGTAGAAAAACATTTAATGTTATCGGAAATGTTATTGCACCAAAATAAACTAGAGATAATGACCATTATTTCAGTATATAATAATAATCATTATCTCAAATCAGTCATCGACAATACGCGTTCAAAGTTGGTCGTTTTGTATAAAATCGCGATTTCACAATGGATAATATTTCGGAGCAACGCGCGTGTATTAAATTTTGTTTCAAAATTGGTAAAAATGCTACGGAAAGTTTTGAATTAATAAAATTGGCTTTTGGAGATATTGCACTAAGCCGATGTGTAACTTTTGATTGGTTCAAACGTTTTAAAGAAGGTCGTATATCCATTGAAGATGACCATCGTCCTGGGCGTCCATCAACATCAAAAACAAATGATATCATTTCTCTAGTTCGAGACAAAATTAGATCCGACCGAAAATTAACTGTCAGAGAAGTAGCTAATGAAGTTGGCATATCAATTGGTACTTGTCATTCGATTTTATCAGATGAATTGGGTATGAAAAGAGTGTCCGCAAAATTAGTGCCAAAATTGTTAACCGAGGAGCAAATGGAACATCGCATTGAAGTGTGTTTGGATCTAAAAA